ATAAGACAGCGCCGCAGCCGACCACAGCCGACAACAGCCGACAACGCCACCACCAGACCCTCTAACGGAGCGAGATTTATTGCAATTTGCAATAAGACAGCGCCGCAGCCGACCACAGCTGACAACAGCCGACAACAGCCGACAACGCAACAACCAGACCCTCTACCGGAGCGAATTCTATTGCAATTTACAATAAGACAGCGCCGCAGCCGACCACAGCCGACAACAGCGGACAACAGCCGACAACGCCACCACCAGACCCTCTAACGGAGCGAGATCTATTGCAATTTACAATAAGACAGCGCCGCAGCCGACCACAGCGGACAACAGCCGACAACAGCCGACAACGCAACCACCAGACCCTCTAACGGAGCGAGATCGATTGTAGTCTCGGTGTGTGTGCTCTCTGTGTGTGTGGTCTCTGTGTGTGTTGTCTCGGTGTGTGTTGTCTCTGTGTGTGTTGTCTCGGTGTGTGTGATCTCTGTGTGTGTGTGTGGTCTCGGTGTGTGTTGTCTCGGTGTGTGTGTTGCCTCGGTGTGTGTTGTCTCTGTGTGTGTTGTCTGTGTGTGTGGTCTCGGTGTGTGTGATCTCTGTGTGTGTGTGGTCTCGGTGTGTGTTGTCTCGGTGTGTGTGTGTGTGTGTTGTCTCGGTGTGTGCTGTCTCTGTGTGTTTTGTCTCGGAAAGAGAAGCGGGAGGAGCGGGAGAAGCGAAGCGGGAGAAGCGGGATGAGACATAGAAAAGAAGAACCCCACACTAAGATGTGGGGAAAAAAGATGGAAAAGAAAACCAAAGAGGTCTAAAGAATGAACGAAAACCATCCCATGTGTGTGTGACTTTTCCCTTTTTTCGAGGCCTCCACATGCGGCCTCCGGCAGCTCTTGGCCATCCACCGCCGAGCGGCATGTCACCGGACCTGTGAGATCCACGAAACGGCCGCAAAGTGATTCTGAAATAAATCTTGGGTACCTTGGATACATCTGAGATAGGGCTCTTTTTCAGGCGTTCTTCAAACGGCCGAGGCACGATGCTGGAAGCCGACGGCATTCTTCCGTTCCGGCCCGGGACGGCGATTCCAGACTCTCCAGCAGTCCTCCGAAGCAAATCGAAATCGGATGAAGACCTTTCCAAATCAGAAGACTTGTCCGTCTGGTCTTCATCCAGTCGAAAATGAGTCCAAAAGAAATGAGACTATTGCCCTCGGTCTTTGGTCACTGTTTTTTGAGACTCTCCATGCACTAGATCACAATAGGCCACCTGTGCTATTTGGCGGCGTTTCCGGGTCCTCAAACGCTCCTGCTACCCATGAAGCGAAAATACTCGTGCCAGCGCCAGCACGAAGAACCTCTTGCCTGCCACCAACCTGGGGAGTTCAGCTGGTGAAGAATAAATGTCATGAAGAACCTTGTTTTTGTGGCTTCTCGAGTCCAGGATCCACAATCAAAGAACAAAGATCATTCTTTCAGCAGCGTTTTCTTTGCATCGGCTTTCTTATTCATCCTAAAAGCACATGTCTGATGCTTAGTAAACCAAACACCTCTCCCAAAACCCTGCAATAGCTAGCGGCTAGCAGCTAGCTTGTGAATCCGTCCCTTCCCGCCTGCAATAGCAGGGGGGCCGAATTTCGGGAGCAACTGCTGGCGGACTCGGTGCAGTTCACCTCGCGCCGCTTCCGTCTGCGGTCGTCGGACCGGGTACCAGCACGGCCGTTCACATGTCAATCTGCGATGTTCACATGTCTTCCAAGGTACCTCCGCATGCGATGTGCTGAGAAACGCCAGCAAAAAGAGGTTCAGTTTGAACATTCGATAAGCAGGTATGCGTCCTCAGTTCGCAGCCATGTGTGCAAACATGTTCAAAGCATGTTCTACAGCATGTTGATCCTGAAGCAAAGGCCTCTGAGCACCGGACCGTGGGACTGTCTTCAGTGGCAAAGAAAACCGTGGAATGCTGTAGAATTTCAGCCAAACGGCAGTGGGGATGTGAGAATTGAATCGTCGTTTGGTCAGGAGACCTCTTCTTCAGCAAAGGTCTAATTCTAATTAGCAAAAGTGTTTTTAAAAAAGGAAGAACAAACGGGCCAAACAGCCAAACAAAGTGAACAACTAGGACCTAGGACAGCTCAAAGTCCTTCATCTCAACAAACAGAAGTTGCCTAAAAGGATTCAGGTCAGCGGTGTCCTCCACCAAGAATGGTTGTTTGGGCACCCCAACGGCACCTGCCACAATCATCTAAACAATTGACAGCTTTGATTCGACAAAAGTCAGAGTGGCGCACTTGTGGCATGGGTGATGGACAGCTGGAAAAGCCTCAGAGTTCAGCTGGGAATGCAAGGGAAAAAGGTGCAGTTTGTGTGTGAGAGTGAGAGTGAGAGAGAGAGAGAGAGAAAAAGAAAAGAAACAGAGACAAAAAAGAGTAAAAGCGAATAATAGAACACACAAAGTAATTACGGAAAAATATTTGCAGAATTAGCAGTGTTGGAATGGGTGGGGGTTCACTACGTTTGGGCGCGACATGCTTGGTAGCTGTCTCTTGCGAAAAAAAGGTTGAGAGCTGTGACTGGAACGTGTCAAGATTTGACGATGAGGTGCTATTTCATCGGAAAGCCTCGTAAGAGCTGCCCATGTTGAAATTTGCACACAGTTTTTCGTTTCAATGTTTGGGTCCTTGGGTTTTGAAGTGGCCACCAGTTTGAATGTTTCCACTGAAGAACATCAACCACATCTTTTCACTCGGCCCCCGGTTCCCTGAGATTTTCACAGTCGTGCTGAGAAGCGAACTCACCCAGTTAAGGATTCTCTGTGATTTTTAGTTCGATTGAAGGAAACCTGCACCAGGACTCTCTAAGATGATCGCCTTGGCAATTCCACCATTGGCACCTCCGACCACACCTGGAGGTTGCACAGCTCTGCATGAAAATGGTCAATCCACATCACAAGAGTATGACTCAAGGCCCTAAATACATATATATATATATAGCGAGAGAGAGAGAGAGAGAAAGAGAGACACACTTATGGAAATGCACACTGATGTGAATGCCGTGCCACACGCCGGCCTAGGTTCCCAGTTCCTAGGGTCCAGGACGAATAGTAAGTTAAAGGCCATGGCTTTTAGGTTGGAGGTCATCGGAAGCCGTTGGGGGTCAACGCCTAAGGTTGGAGGCCGTCGCTAGTAGGTGGTAGGTAGTAAGCAAAACCAACAAACCAACAAAAGTGACAAATAGTAGGTTAAGGCCATCGCTTTTTGGTTGGAGGCCATTGCAAGGCCGTTGGGGGCCAAGACCTAAGGCTGGAGGCTGTCGCTAGTAGATGCTAGTAGGTGGTGGGTAGTATGCACAAGCAAAACAAAAGTGACAAATAGTAGGTTGGAGGCCATCGCAAGGCCATTGGGGGCCAACACAAGGTTGGAGGCCGTCATTAGTAGGTGGTGGGTAGTACAAAAGTGACAGCGAGCAGCAAAGTTGGAGGTCGTCGCTAGTGGGTTGGATGCCCATAGTACCAGGTTGGAGGCCAGCGCTACCAGGTTACAAGAAACACAAGACACACAAGACAGCCAAAGTTAGGGGCCAATGCTAAAAGGCCAAAAAATTCGGGTTGAAGGTCCACATTACAAGGTTGGGGGGAAGGAAAGGCACCGATCCTGTTTTCCTAATGGTGGAACAAGTACAAAACCAACGTGTAGGTACACATCAAGGCGTCCCTTGATGCATCCCCTGTTACATCCCGGCTTCGTTGGGCCAGGTAGGATGTGACAGGCCTGGCCCCCCTGCACTACACCGAAAGGTGCCCTGTGAGTCCAAGGGTTACACACACACACACACACACACGCCTCCCGAAGGGAGGCATGTGTGGCCTCCATCCTGCCCGGAAAGGAGGCACCCCCATCCTGCCCGGAAAGGGAATAATGCGAAGCACATGCGCGCGCAAAAGAGAAAGAAATACAAAAAGTGTGTGTGGTTGGCGATGAAGAAGAACCAAGTCAAGAGGGACAACCGATCAGCCAAACCTCATTGTAGCAAACCTGGGCCACCTGAACCTAGTTGTAAGTGGAATATGCGTGCATGTATGTGTACAAGCTAGGCTCCGGATGAAAGTGCGCGCAAGAGAAAGGAAAGGCTGAGGATGAAGAGACATGAAGACAGAAGGACATGAAAGAAAAAGAAGGGAAGACGTCTGTGGGGGCCAATGAAAGGGGAACCAAATGAAAGGGGACAAACCGATGACAGACCAAACCTCATTAAGAAACCTGTTGCAAAGCCTGGTTTGCTTGTAAGTACGCCGCGCGCGAGAGAAGAGGGAAAAAAAGGAGACGAAGGTGCTCCCGGCTACGACACAAGCGTCCAGGGACACATCAAAAAGGAAGAGCTCCCAGCTATCACGAAAGCATCCAGGGACACCCAAGGAGGAAGGAAGGGGAAGAAAAGAAAGAAAGAGAGAAAGAGAGAGGGAGAGCGAGAGAGAGAGAGAGGGAGAGAGACAGAGAGAGAGAAAGACAGAGAGGGGTGTACCTGAGTATTCCATTCAGGAACACCCCAGAAGGCAAAGAAGGAAGGGGGAAGGGGGAGGAAGGGGGCTAAGTTCTCGGCAGGTTCCAACAAACCTCAAAAATGCTTCGGTCGCTCTGACCACGTTGGGGCGTTAAGCCAGCTTAGACCGCTGCGGTCACGTAACGGCATGAGCCAGCTTGGAATTCAATAATCCGACAAATCTTGGCAAGTAACTTTGGCATAAGCCTCCTACGCTCGCTCGAGCTCCTCTGTATCCGGGCAGGGGATACGTTCGACAAACCCCCGTTCAACGGGTCGACAGGGGCCGGGCTCTCACTGGGAGAGACACACTTATGGAAATGCATACTGATGTGCCACACGCCGGCCTAGGTTACCAGTTCCTAGGTAGCAAGACGAATAGTAGGTTAAAGGCCATCGCTTTTGGTAGAAGTCATCGCAAAGCCGTTGGGGGTCAACGCCTAAGGTTAGAGGCCGTCGCTAGTAGGTGGTATAGGTTGGACAAACCAACAAAAGTGACAAATAGTAGGTTAAGGCCCGGCCATCGCTTTTTGGTTGGAGGCCATCGCAAGGCCGTTGGGGGCCAACACCTAAAGTTGGAGGCCGTCACTAGTAGGTGGTGGGTAGTATGCACAAGCAAAACAAAAGTGACAGCGATCAGCAAAGTTGGAGGTCGTCGCTAGTGGGTTGGAGGCCATAGTACCAGGTTGGAGGCCAGTGCTACCAGGTTACAAGAAACACAAGACACACAAGACAGCCAAGGTTAGGGGCCAATGCTAGTGGGTAGAGGCCAAAAAGGTCGGGTTGAAGGTCCACGTTACAAGGTTGGGGGCCTACCTGCAAACCTATATAGTAGACTAGAGGAAAACAAAAGGAAAGGCACCGATCCTGTTCTCCTAATAGTGGAACAAGTACAAAACCAACGTGCAGATACACATCAAGGCGTCCCTTGATGCATCCCCTGTTACATCCCAGCTTCGTTGGGCCAGGTAGGATGTGACAGGCCTGGCCCCCCTGCACTACACCGAAAGGTGCCCTGTGAGTCCAAGGGTTCCACACACACACACACATATATATATATATATGTACAGTATACATACGTGCCAAAGGTTCACACGAACGTCCTCTTGATGTTCTCAAACACTGATGAACGGCAAGGCTTTAAGCCAGCCTTGTCTCGAACGCCAGCCGCGTCTCTTCCCCGCAGCCCACGCCTCACGGATGGCACCCAATGGCCCCTCACGATCCACTTGGAAGTGTGCTTCTCTGGTGACCTGGGCTGAACATTCCACAGATCAGATCCTGGATCCTCGGCATTTGTGCACTGTTGAGGGACCAAAAGCGGGATCCACCCATGGGGCCTTCAAAATAGGCCAAAACCATCCCAACCCATTGGGATCGATTGTCGGGTTGTTGCTTGGTCTCGGTTTCTCCGGCTTGTCATCTCGCCGTTGTATATTGTTTGTGGTTTCAGGGCAATCGATGCTTAGTCCCGGATTGCGGACGTTCAGAAAATGACAGAGAAGGCCTGTTCAGAAGGTATGTGCATGTTTTGAATAGGATGGATGCCTTTCGCGTGTTCCAGCCATTTGGTTTCGGCGTATCCTTCATCTCAGCCAATCGAGCTTTGAACAAGTACCTCGGAATCTTGTGGAGCAAAAAGTCTGTACGTTTTCTGGACGACTGGGTGGGGAGACACTGGAGTGAATTCGTTTCTGGTTGGTTTGCAATTTGCATGATTTTTGAGTGGCAATTCGTAATTCATGCCGGTCAAATTAGTTATTCCTTTTATTTGCCCTTTCACAGATGGGGCGAAGCTCTCAATCCGGGACCTGTCGATCCGGACCAGGTCAATTTGGATGATAGTGATGACCACATTCGAATATTTAGCTTCAACCCAGCACAGCTCTGGAATCGTGAGGCTGACATTGTCAAATGGCCGTTAGGTGTTTGGTGTGCCAGTGAAACCAGTCACACGGAACGTGCGCATCAACTTTCTAAGGCCAAGTTCAGGAAGGAAGGTGTCAGATCTGTTTGGGGTCCGTGTGCACCCCCTCAATCACAGGTGGTTGGGTCCTTGCGCGGCACAGCTACTGGGGTGGCTATCATGTCACGCCTTCCGATTCAGCATTTCCCTTTACCTGTTTCTGATGAAGTTGTTGCCACGGCTAGGTTCATTGATGCAACTGTGAACATTTCTTGTCATGATTGCATGTACGTTGCATGTTTGTACGGTCCTGTGCAAAACACTACCTACGCTAATCCGTTGGCCATGTTTAATGCCATTTTTCATGAAGCAGCTTCGCGTGCATTGCTGTTCAAAGGGCCCGCAGCTATTGTCGGAGACTTCAACATTGAATTGCATCAGATTCCACAGTGGGAGTTCCTGCAGAAACAAGGTTGGAAAGATGTGGCCCAGGTTGCCCTTGATCGTTTCCAGCATCCTTTGGACATGACTTCTAAG